ATAACTGGATCAAGTTCTTGATTTATTCAAATTTATGAGATACAATAACTGTGATTTCAAACTTCCAAATGATGTAAGTATATAAAAGATTGTGGAAGTCAGTAACAATTGATCATCTTTTAGGTGAGCGTCTCACTTCTCCTCAAAACTCTTTCATTGAGAAGATGTTTGGTCAAATAGTACAACTAGGAAATACAAAAAAAAGACTTCATTTTATGGATCCCTCTAAGCAATAAGGATGCTTGTCCTAAGCTCTGATAAACAATTACAAAAGACGTGTTCTAAACTCCAATCGAACAAAATTGTAATAGGAAAACCAACAAAATTAATGCATTGAATAACCATTGAAGACTCTCATTAGACTGAGTTACGAATCTGCTAGGGTTTCAGAGATGATTAATGACGGTGAGTCGTCAATGTTTATGAAAAATATGTATAATGTGGTTTAATCGGGGGATTACGATATAATTATGGTGCATTTTAACAATATATGATATGAAGAGTCGCAATGAAGTAGATATGCGTAAAAGTAAAGCATGACATCGATTTTATTGATCAGCAAAGAAATGGTTTCTCCGAAATTATATTAAAAAGTATGTATGATGATTACATCTGAATTTTTTTGGGTATGATCTTCGGGAGATTAAATATATAAGGTGGAGAATGGTAGTGATCGTGATGATCGTAATTTTGAGGGATGTGGCTTGTTTTTTCTTAGCTTAGATTAGCATGGATTGGTTTGTCGACTTTTTTTCAGGCTTGAGAGTAGGTATTTATACAAAAAAAAAAGGAAAAAAAAAATTGTTGATACATTGAATGAGGAGTTCCAACTAAGTGGGTAGTGTGGCGCCACGTGTTCCTATGTAAAAGCTGATGGGACAACTCGAGAAATGCTATCAGCTTTGTCAGGATGTGTTCAGACGATGAAGGTGATCGTCAGTCTTCTTGGAGAAGCTTCTAAGGGTGATGGACATATCGATTGGGTGGTCGACAATGATGTCAACGTTCTTGGCCTTGTCCGACCTTTCTGCAAGGCTTTCCTTGTCGATTTTAGCCATGCACTAATATAAAGGAGTTGCCGCCCAAAGGGATAAGCCACTTATCCAAGTAGGGAAAGTTGCTTGCAAGTTGCCAGGACATGTGTCACCATGCATGTCGCCAGACCCTGCCATGTGTCCCAGACATACATAATTTAAAGATCTCCCCCTTCTATAAATAGAATGGCCCGGAGGCTTCAAAGATCATTAATTAATTTCAACTACATCAACAATTTCTATTACATCATCTTCTACATTGATAAATTTCTACATCAAGCTCTCCAGTTCTCCATTATTTTCCAGTTCTCTAGTCACTATACTCAAATTTCTTGTTTTCCCGCAGCCTTCGAGAGGCTCTTGTATAAAAGAGGCCTGCGAACGGCCCAACGCATGAATAAAATCGTCGGTGCAAACACTCTTATTCTTCGCCTGCGAACGGCCCAACACATGAATAAAATCTCCGGTGCAAACACTCTTATTCTCATACAATAGACACCATATTATTTCCCTTACCATTTTTGTGATTTTCATGCTAAATTACACCAAAGTGTTAAATCGCAATCTAGTTAGCACACCACTGCTTCAGTGGTCCTATTGCCGAAAACACACGTCAACACAACTAAAACCGCTAAATATCATTGGGATACTTACATGGATTTCTTATTCAATTTTTATTTATTCATTCAAATTAGTAAGATTATGAAAAAACTGGTATTCCCACCATTTATCTAACACTCATTTGAGATTTAATCCTCTAAAATTGTATCTTTTTACATTAATCATTTTTCTGTAGTAAAATTTGAATTTTATATCCTGTTGTTGAATTAAATATAATTTTTTCATGAAGCTACAATGTTCTTATAATAAAATTAGGTCTCGATTATATTAAAATTCATTCAATATGAGCTCTGTTTGTCTATATAGCAAAATTCTTTCATATATAATTTATCAAATTAAAAATTTTACTAAAATTCATTTAATACAAAGACAACGACAAAATTATCTATATAAAAGAATGTATAAAATAGATAAAACTTAAAACTTTGTACACCTAGAGCTCTAATGGTAGGACAAATATTATTATAGGGTGTTGTACTAGGACAAATAAAATAACTGAAAGAAAATAAGGACACGCTTATAAAATAATTATCTTTACTTATTTATTTTTTAGGAAATAATTTCAAGTTCCTAAAAACATGTTCCCCATAAGGACACGCTTATAAAATAATTATCAGATAAAGGGCAAGATTGTTAATCACATCAGCATGTTGATTACATTGGTTGTAACCGGTCAGAAGACCGTGGACCATAACTAAAAATTGACACTTTACCTTATTAAATCCAACATTGAGATCAAACAAAGAACTCTTTAAGCGAATAGAATACCAAACTTGCACCAAAATTATAATCACGTATGCAATGTAATATCATCAATCAAACACAAATGTGGGCATTGGAAAGCTTCACAACTCCCACATCGATCACACGCACATTACAAGTAGGCCTTTCCTTTAAAAAAAAGACCACCTAGCTAGGTGCATATGCTTGTTTGTATCTAGTTACACATTATATATAATACTTAAGATATTAAACCACGTATCTTTTTATTTCCTTATTACTACTACGTATTCATACATGGTCTCATTTCGTAAAACTAGGTTTAATTATTTGTTGCTTCGGGTCCCCAGCCTTTTCCGCCGCCACCACCATATCCTCCGCCACCTTTGCCGCCGCCGCCGTATCCTCCACCACCGTATCCTCCACCGCCTTTGCCTCCACCACCATATCCCCCGCCACCATATCCTCCGCCACCTTTGCCTCCACCACCATAACCTCCACCGCCATAACCTCCACCGCCTTTTCCGCCGCCACCATATCCTCCACCACCATAACCTCCGCCGGGCCCACCACCATAACCTCCGCCGGGCCCACCACCGCCTCCACCTTCCGGCTTGATTTCATCCTTGCCATTTTCTGAAGACACCAAGAGAAAAAAATTCAGCTCGAAATGTTGTTATTTTATTAAATATTGATATTTTGTAAATATTGTTATTTTATTAGAAAAAAAAATATATATATATATATTTGTCATACCGGACGAGCGGCAGCAGTAACGGTTGCAGCCATATCGGCCAAATCCGCCGCAGCAGTACCTGCTGCGGCAATAACCACCGCCGCCGCCTCTGCCGCCTTGGTTGATCTCTTTCGGCTCCTCACCTATGTATACATACACCAACAATAAATAAATAAATAAGAAAAGAAAAATATAGGTTTTAACTAATTATCAAAATTAACCTTAAATTAATTTATCTGTTCATTCTTCATTTTCAATTATTAATTTTAAGTGAATGTCAAAGTTATGTATTTTGGCAATACATACTTCTGTTAGCCAATAAGTTAAAATGAATAAGGGTATATATATATTACTTGATAAGAAAATGTATTATTATACCTTTTATTTCATTTTGATGCTCATCTGCGAAAACAGATGAAAACACAAAAAGAGCAATAAGGGCAAGAAGAATAAAATGCTGGGACTTCATATTTTTTTTCTTTGCTTTCAAATGCTACTGAATTTGAGAAGACAATGAAGAGTTTCCCTGATATGGGTATCTATTTATAGGGCGTTTGGGAATCGGTATTAAATGGGATAAGGTGGTTGGGTGTTTGTGCTGACATATACGAGCACCTCTTGCCGCTTGAATCCTTTCTTGAACTTTCAAAGTCAAACATACTTATCAACTTGATTACGCCAATATTGTAAACGCATCGAAAGGTTATACAATCGTAGTTTTTGGATTCAGCAACGTAGTTTTTTGATAAATTCAGATTGACAAAGATTTGTGATGAACACAATTGCAGCAAGAGACATGAGAGAGAGAGAGAGAGAAAGCAAATAGATAGTATTTCAGGAAAAATGAAAAGTGTTGTGCAAATTAGAGTTTGGATGTACATACTAGTGAGTTTTAAAATTTTATTTTAACAATATATTAGTTTGTTAACTGTTTATATTAATAAATAATATTTTAATATCTATATTCATTTTTTGATATAGAAAAAGTATTAATTTTACTTATTTTTGTTCATTATAATATTCAACTATTATTTTTTTTAAATTTATTGTCGTATAATTTCATTATTATTATTATTATTATTATTATTATTATTATTATTATTATTATTTATAATACTTATAAAAGTAGTATTCTTTATATATATATATATATATATGTATATATATATAATGATTAATATTTAATTTACATTAATATTATTTAGTTATGTAATTAATTTAATAATATTTAAATCAATTCAAAATAAATATGTGCCACATATGCATTCCATTCATTTTTAGAATCTTTTATATATCATAATAATTAAAAAAATCATATATATATATAGGGGATGGATCCAATGAGACCACTCCTTAAAATGAGTACGTGAGACTCAATCTTAGCCACTCATTTTGTCTAGATCAAAATCAATTAAAATATACATTAATTAAATAATAAAATAGTTGACCGTTGACTCCGGCGTTGACCGTTGACTTTCGGCGTTGACTTCCGGCGAGAATCGTTGACTTCCGGCGTTGACCCGTTCTATTGAAATAAATAACCTAGTAACAAAAAACACTCAACCTTGAGTGGTGAAGTGGTTGCATTGCTTGTCTTGCGTCCATGAGGTACCAGGTTCAAATCCTATAGGTTACAATTTTTTTATAAAAAAAAAATACAACTAACTTAGCAACATCAGACAACTAACCTAGCAACAAAAAACTTAGCAACATCAGACAACTAACCTAGCAACAAAACACAACTAACTTAGCAGCATCAGACAACTAACCTAGCAACAAAACAAGTTTTTTTTTTTTTTTAAAAAAAAAAAATCATTCAATTATGAATTGCGATTTAAAATTTAAAACAAAAATTATCTAATCTTTTACCGTAATTAATTATATATGTTGCCAATAGCAATAAATTAATTATCATATACATTAAACATTTAATATGCACATCCCATAAATAAATATTAAACATATTAAATAAATAATGACAATAAACATATGAAAATTTATTATATAATAATAAGTTTAGACGTAAAAATATTTACTTGTTTCAAATTTTTTGTTACAGTTTTTCATATAAATACAAAAAAAATAAATTTAAATTAATAATTTATTTACAAAATCAAATCCAGTAGGTTTAGTACAATATTTCAAAAACCATATGCAAATTATCGATATTCATATATGGTAACGCAAAACACTCCGACCGGCCTGAAATCGGTTCGCTTTCCTCTTCCTCGCCGGTAGAACGCCGCGCACCTGCACAGAACTCTCACACCGGAGGGGTTTTCCGGTGAAGAGCCTCCGATGTTTAAGTCAGTCTATGTTTGTTCAATTTTCCAAAGTAAAGAATGGATAAATCCTTTGGAACAAGAAAAGCTCTCACCTTTATATATATATAGATAGGAGTGAGATACCTGCCATAAGAGCTGTCCGGATCTTACGCGCTGTCCTACTCGTGCTGCCCATCCGTACACACACAGTATGCGTGTTGTCAGAGGTGTCAGAGGTGGTTATCGCCACTATTGCTCTGCACCAATATATTCTCGCCACGTGTCCCTCTGAGCTGGGGGAGATTATTCTCTGTTCATTCTGTTAGGATCTTCTAATGTAGCCCACGCGCTTTCTCGCGGTCAAGCCACGCTCTCAACTACTCTTAGCCCGTGAGCGCTCGATCAGACCTGGTCCCCCGTCGCTAGGTCGATCCTCGACCAGTTCTGTCATTCTGCTCGATCTTTTCCCTTTTTGGTCGACTACCGCTCGACCAAAACAATTTTTCCTTACCGCAAGCTCGCTCAATCAACATGGTAAATCGGTCTGTTCTTTAGCTATATAATATCTCATATCAATATAGATTTTATTATTATTATTATTATTATTATTATTATTATTATTATTATTATTATTATTATTGTGAACGAAATTATATGTAAAATATTTTTCCTATATTATCTCTACCAATAATATTGTGAATGAAATTAAAGAAGACACTCTTATCAAGTCACTCTCTCTATTATATAGTAATAGATATAGATTTGTTATGCTACGCAATGAAAATATACTTTACCATACTTTCATTATGGAAAAAAGTTGGAATAATGATATTTTGTTTAGCGAATAGTTCAATAGTTAGCGCTTTGACTTTATATATATACAACATTTAAAAAAAAAATATCTTGAGGACAGAAATTTTTGGTGTAAAAATAATAAAAATGTCTGTTACATTTCTTATTTTAAATGTCTAAACACCGATGATAACCCACCTTAAAAATTACAAAATATTTAGCAAATTAAAATTGGGTATCAAAAAGTTGTGTGGACATCTATTTGGTTTATAACTTCCACCACATCATTTTATGTGAGTGAAGATAACAATAGTATTTATTATAAGAAAAAATAATAGAAAGAAATAATATAATTTTTTGAGTAATTTCCCCTTTTTTTTACACTTGGAAGTGTAAGTTTATTTATGGAAAATGTAAAAATTATATTATGCTTGAATGTTTATTGATGTGCAAGTACGGCCTCGCGGCCGACAAAGTGGTCGACGCCCGGCTAGTCACGGCCGACGGCGACGGCCGGCTCCTCGGAATGGGCCAAGTTGTAGCCCCGACCTTCTAGACCCATCGCTGGTCACAGGCCAGGGCGGGTCCATGGGCACGTGTGCGGGCTAGGTTCGAGTCCGTTACTACCCAGCCTGACCTAATCCATTGCAGCCCCTAATGAAATCGTTACGAAATATTGTTGCTAAATACATAATCACAACGCTATAAAAGTGTAGCACATTGAAATTTATCAACAAATAAATTTTGTGTCATCAAAAATTGTTATAACGACGCATGAAATAAAGTGACACATATTAAATTTACAACGCACATGTGGTGCATCGCCAAAATCTATAATGATGACGCATTAAAAAAAGCGTCAAACATGATTATTGTAGACGCAAACGGCTTGTGTCACAAATTATACACAAGCGACGCATTTAGAAAAGTGTTACGCATGAAAAATTACCTACGCTAAAGTCTTGCGTTGCAAATAATTTCATCACCTAAAATTTAGCAACGCAACTCGCGATACTTTTAATAGCGCAGGTAATTTTTTGTGACACTAATAAACGTCACTAAACAAAAAATAAAGGGGTTTTATCGGTACAAGACCCGAAAGATATGATAATTATCAATTCGGGGCTTGAAAGATTAATTATATCAATATGGGGCTTATATATATATATATATATCAAAACTCATACACGACTACTTCCTGTTGGCAATATCTCTGTTATTCTAAGGCTTTAGTTACTCTATATGTATGCGGTCTTGAATCTTGAAGATTTTCTTGTACTTTCATTCTTGTACATGACATCTCAGCCAGCACATTACATCATTCGGTTTACTGGTTACTGCTATCAATACGGAACATACCCAAGTTTGCTTCACTGAAATGTAATTGGGCACTTCATTCGTGATTATACTAGTATTAACTTATAATCGACTCATAGTCAAACCTTTATGAACTAAAATGACTCAACGAGGCATAAACTTAACTTAGGGAAAAAAAGAACCAAAATTATAGTTCGAGATTATGTCAAAACACTATGGAAAACAAGGGCTTCTATAGATATCTCTGAAGTATGACCAAGTGCTGAGAATATACACTGGCCTCAATAGATTTATAAAACAGGCACAGGTAGCAACTTGCCACAAGCTCAAACGACAAAAAGAGAAAATGTTTGAGCTGCTGCTATATCTAGCCGTTCCCCATTTGGGCGAACACAATTATTCCCAGAAGGACAAATTAGTAAAATATGTGGTGAAAATTAAACTTTTATCTACTCCCTAAAAACTACTTCAACACCTAATTTTATCTACTAATTAAGAAGTCTTAGTGTACACGGGAATAAAAATACCTGTGTCTTTCTCCACACATTCCCTTGAAAGCTTCATGAGGTCAGCAACCTCCAAGCAAATATCAGCCACAAATCGAAGCAAGAATATTTATACACCATTACCAAATTTCTCACGTGGTCAAGGGCTCAAATGCAATTTTTGCGGGTTGTACCAGCCAGACCCGAAAAAATATCCAGATATATCATCTGCACTAGAGTCCTTGGTGCCGTCAGTACTGTATGAACCAGCATCCGATGTGCTGAAAATGGATGAGCTGTCGCTTGATGATGAGTCAGCTAGCGGGTTGTTTTTGTGGAATCCCCAGCCATAAGGGTCCACCTCATGCTCCCCCGTGAAATCATTTGGAGACATCCAATGGGGTTGTTTACCGGAAAGCTGACGAGGAGATGTGGGGTCCACATGCCGGCCAGAGAAGTTTTGTTTCGCCTTTGAATTCTTTTTCTTGGAAATGTTGTTACTTGAGGAGGTTGCTTCCGTATTTCTCTTGGTTTTCGCATCAGAATGCAAACTGCTGCTCCTAACCAACGATGGGACTCGTGGAGAATGCCTTTGAAAAAATGGTTTTGGATTTTGGAATTCAATTGATTATTAAAAATAAAAATAGTCATCTGCTGCAACCTTTTTTTTTTTTTCTTTTCTAAGAATAAAAAAATCTCGATTACCTTGCATAAAAGAGAATGTAAGCTTCTACAGATAACACAGTCTCCAGGTCCACGTGACTTACCTGAAAGAAAGATCCATGTTGAGTACTCTTGCCCGAGAGGGGAAAAATAAACATAAAAATAAACATAATAAGATTAAGATTAATTACACAGCAGTATGGGAAACATACCAGGCTGTCGTCAAATTTGAACCAATCCCCCTTGAAATCTCTGATGTAACTCACATAGTGGCCACTGTAAGCAGCATTCATTCCCAAGTGGACCACCACTGCATAAAGCTCGTATACAGGGTACTTGTCGTTCATTCCACTCATATAAGGATAAAGGTTAAGAACCTTGGGAAACTTCACAAACTTATTTAACTTTTCTAAGTTGCCCGACTGCAAATAGAAGGGTGCAGCAACGGAAGGTTAAGAATTCATAAATTAAGTAAATTAAATATGCAGCAGTGCAGAAAAGAATACCCGAAATCGCTTGAGAACGATTGTAAGAACGTTAGGGGCCTCAAGAACAGTCAATTTCTTCTTAGCCTTCTCGTAAGACTTGCATCTGTCAATGAAAACATATCAGGACAACTAAACCACATTAAGCATCACTAACAAACAAACTAATCGATCATGCTTTAATGCATTTGAATTTTAAATAAATATTTTCTTGCGGAAGTTTTACATCCTCAGGCAACATTTACTCTTATATCCCCTTCACTTAAAATTCATAGTTTCGAGATAAAAGTATGACAGAGATCAGATGTCTTCTATTTTCCAATCACAATATGCTTTCTGACAGATCAACTAGAAGGGTGAGAAAAATGTAGTTATACAATTTCAACTCCATCACTGTTTCGGGAGGTCATGAAAAGCAGATACTGATAACCAGAATAAAACATTTCAACCAACTTATAGGTTACTAAACATTATACAAGGGGATTGTTTCTACAATGCACAAACTCATTGCACATGAATCACGTCAACATAAACTAAAAGGCTATAACCAAAAAAAATGATGCAGGATCCAGTGAGACATTATGAGGTCAGCAGATAATAAAAATAATTTAAAAGATATGATGAACTTAAGAATCCATTTACTCCAAGTATGAGAGATAAATGAACACACCTACTGCACTTATACTTATCATCTCCGCCAAGTGTCTCAGATTTCGTGAATTGTGTAAGAGCATCTTCAAGTGTCCATATATTCCCATCGATCTCTACGGTAAGATCCATCATTCGGTCAAATCTTTCAGATCTTCCTGAACACTTCATGCATTTGATCTGGCAAATGAGACTGTTAGCAGAAAACAAGGTAACGTATACCAATGCTACAAACCCATACTAACTTGTAAACAGACATAAAACAGAGACTGCTGGACATCGGGGTTTTAATTATATCAAAATAAATATAGACCTTGGACCGAAGATAGCCGCCAAAAGTCAGGTCCATAAGGCTTGAATCTTCAGAAGATGAACCAGAGACACCAGCATCCTCAAGACATGTTGATTCCATTTTGTGTACCACATTTCTGATAAAAATCAAAATTACTTTTGTCAGCTTTTTCATTTTAAAGTTTTATTTCCTCTAAATCAATAATAGCTTCCAAGTTCTATCAGATACTAGCCTCAAAAACTCATGTGCATCTTCTTCTCTCCCAATCGGCTGTATTTGAGACAGTAATCCAACAGGGGATAGAGGAGATTTCATTGCTTGTCCCTTCTGAATTAGATGTTCAAACTTGCAGGTAAAACACCAGTCTATCTTTCGACCTGAATTTATATTTGTAACAGACATGGGTATAAGAAAATGATGATCTTCGCAATTTAGTGGCAAGCAGTGAATCATAAAAGTGATACTTGCATGTTTTCGAATGCAACCCGTGAAGAAGATAAGAAGCAATTGGCCGAGTAAAAGTTAAGCATTGCAGCACAGCATTTGCATAGCAGCTGCAAGAAAAATAATAATCAGTTTATAAAGGAAAAGAGAATATCCCATATGCTGACACAAATCAACAGTGAAATATTTATTTAGAATTTTGCTGAATAAAATATCAGTATGAGCACTTATACATTATAATCAGCATAGTTTATTCTTGTCCTGTAATTTTTCTTAAGCTCAATGTATGTTCTGCAACTTCTTTCTTTAGAAATGGTCATTATATAGCAGCTGGAATGAGAAGAAGAAAAAGGGAAATGATATGGTTTAGAGATCATAGGACATTCTAAATTACAGAATAAAAATTACAATAAAAGGACACCTAACACAGCTGCTGCACATAAAACCCAGCCAGGAATACAAGTTCCAATCATACTCCACGAAGGAAAGCATGAAATCCATTAACAGATAAGTTATTATCATAAGGGAACTGGGGCCTGCAGACTTAAACAACCCCACTCCGATATGTCAGATATTAAGCAGCAGTAAAAATACAAAACATATATAAATCTACTAAACAACAAGATCTGGATGGTCACAGATACATATGACCACACAGCCACATACATACACACACAACCTGATGTTGCAAAACATTGACATACACAACCAAGGGCAGCATAAACAAGTACAGCAAAGAAGCCAAGTATAATTTGATCAATCAAGTGCCACCCACCTATTTCCACAGTTGACAAGGCCATATGGATGGAGTTCCACATCATCACAAGAGTATAACTGCATGAAAAGCTTGACGGGAAATATTATCTGCTGAAAAGAAAACATGATAAATAACATGTGGTGATCAGCAAGACTGTAGAATGCTAATGCCACGGAATCACTAAAAAGAATTAACAGTTAGGCAACCTTATGTTTATAAGTTCCACCCAAGTCTGTCACCATATTCTGCTTTGGTGCTTTGAAATGTTGCACCAATTTCTGTACAGATGTTTTCAGACTCTTGCTAGTCTCTTGTGGCATATTTCGAACACCTTCAGTCTCCGAAGAAATTATATGACGATTATCCGTTTTCGAAGGCAACTTCTGACAATTTCCAGTACTTACAAATGTAGGTGTTGATTTCATTTCATTACTGCAGGAAACTTGTGATTCATTTCTCCAATACTCATCTGAAGGCAGCATCTTCAAAGATTTGGAGCATTCTGAATTAGATTCTACATTTGGCATACCACGGTTACCAGGAGACCTAGCGATTCTTGTCACTTTATCAGCAGGCATCGGAGCTAAATTTTTACATTTTTCAGTTGAAGATGTCCTTGCAGCACTGGAGGATCTTGCAGTCCTCAACTCACTTCCACCCTGTCCAAACTCTTCCAACACAGCAACACTATCTCCTTTCCTTTTATTTCTAATGCTAGTTGACCTGAGGCTATCATCAGCCTTCGTCTTTTCAATCTTGCTGCCACCTGGTGGGTGATTAACTGAATAAACAGATGGTGATGGGGTTGGCACATCGGCATCACAAGACCGAGATATAGTTTTTGACTTGTGAGAACGGAAAGCAACAGGCAGTGCTTTATCTGGCTGGGTAGGTGTTCCAAACTCAACAGCCTCGCTGGTAGATGCATCAGATGATGATTCACTACGTTCGGTGGAAGAACAGAAGCAAGATGTCGAGCTACTTGAAGATCGAGAATCATTAAATTCTTGACCGGCATCAGAACAAATTTTCATTTCATTTTGCAAGTGAGTCGCAGACTGGTTTTCTGAAGCAGTTTCCACATCATATCCACTTTTGTAGCCAGCACCCGGTGAACTTGCTTGCCGACACTCATCCTTATGACCTTGTCTCCAGTGGATTATTTGGCACTTGCCAGAACTAGCAAAAATAGAAAAAGAAATGAAAGTATAAACTTGAGGGGGAAAGGAGCAACAAAAATACAAGCAAAATGATCTTATTATTTCACAAGAAACAGTTCCAAGGCTCAAATTAACCAAGATCATGTAAGTTGTCTTTAATATCTAATGTAAGCCTGTACTAGAAAATAAACCCTTCATGCCCACATCAACTATGCACTCAAAATAGCAATTTCCATCTGAATGGTACAATAGGGTGTGAAATTCCCATTGGAACCAGACTTTGCATTCCTCATTTTGATATCACAATACCAGCCATTCAACTCAGAAGGTAAGTGATGTGTCTAATTCCTCAAGAAAAAAAAAATAAAATAAAAAATAAAATAAAACCAATGCACGAGACATGAAAAAAACTATGACAAATTTACCTTTTAAAATATTGTTTTCTGGGTCAACCAAGTACATTATTCATATTAAAAATTGTGCTCACAGGTCTATTTTAGTGTCTTCACGGACAAGTATTTCAATAAATCTTCTCTCTGTGTGAATGTGTGTACTCGCAGCAGGGCGTCCACTTACAATCAGCAAATTTAGTGGTTTCCACAGGTGAGAGAATACTATTGTAACTCATGCAACACTGGTCACAGGTAAAAGGTGGGAAAACATATAGAAAAACTATATGCCTCCAGTCAGCACTTCATGGACCCAGTCTGGATAAATTACCTTATGAAATTGTAATTCCAAAATAGTTAAAGTAATATCACTCAATATTTACTGCTAAGCCAGGACTGAAACCTAAAACAATTAGTACATGAAAAAAAAAAAATGAAATATCAGGGGCAATTATCAGACTTCACCAGAAAAATCATGACCCTAAAACTTGACCGGCATAAGCCGAAGTTTTGTATCAATATAAGACACAAAGTAACCAGCGTGAAACATATAGTAACCTAATTAACTTAACATGCAAAGAGGAAGACCCTAAACAATTGTCAGCTGTCAGAGACACCATACTCGGGTCATAATCAACCCTGAAGCTCTTCGTCTCAAGAGAGTGGTCATCGTACCTATAACGCACAAGTACTCGAATGGTTTAACTTTTATCTTTAAGGTAATACCAAGTATCCTGCTAACTAGATGGAAAGCGATATGCAATCCATAGAAACTAATCAATTTGTGAAACTTCAGCTCTTTATCTTCGACATATCCTTTGCCATGATTTATTTTTCTAAGAAATGGAGGAATGATGCCTGTCTCTTGCAGCTTTGGACAATGCCAATTAAGACACATGGCAAACTAGATTCATTTTAAAAGAGTAAATAACTACTATTTATTTTCAACGTGGAAAAGGCGGTTAGAGGGTGCACCCTTAATGAACATCAGCATCACAATGAACAAAACGCTCCAAAAATTAAAATAACATAATCTTTGTTCCGAACAAGCAACATTTTTACACAGTTTCGGGAAACTTGTTTGCTAACACATCAACTAGCTTTCACATTTCCATCTTCCTTGTATCAACATAATGTTGAAACGAATACACTTAACAGTCGTCATGTTTACGACGATAAAACCTCGTATTATAGTCTCTCATCTCCCTAACTGGGTGTTCATGTTTCACAAATCACAATCTCCCACAACTCACAAGAATCTCCCAGGATCCGATTAAATAAAGCTCCCAATAGGTACCCAAATTTTTTATCTTTCAAAGTATAACCTGAAAATAAAGCCAAGTTGCCCATTTCACCACTCGTATTAACCACTTGTTCTATTTTCACTAGAATAAATCAAGTGACCTTGAATCGCCGTTGAATCGGGTCACCCTCAACCCTTTCCCCAATCCAAACAAAAACATTCAATTACATAAAATGTAGAAGTATCTACTGGTTAACCATGGCCCTAAATTTTCCAAACCGTACCACAATCATACCCCCAAAACAAAATATCCACTCTCAAAATCATAAAAAGGCAGACCTTTGAGCTGACAAATTGCGAATCAAACCATTAAAAGGCAACCTATGAGCGACAAATTTAAACACAGAACGCACACAGAAAAGTAACAAACCCAGATAATGGAGTAGGAAAGGACACTACTCACCAGTATCGAACAGCTTTACACTGTGAGCACCTTGTAGTGGTGGGGCTGCGACAAACGGCACAATAATGTTGCTTCTCGAGCTGCGGCTGAGGTTGCGGAGGTGAACTGTATTCTTCAAAAGCTTGAAGCCTAGCAATTCTTTCCTCCTCTTCCGAGGCTACAGCAACTAGCCTCAAAATCTCCTCCTTCTTCGCAGCCCCATTCTTCCACTTGTACCGAACTACCAGGCCGAAAATCAGTAAGATTCCGACAATCACTAGCATCGAATAGTGTTGATTCCAATTCAAATTAACCGGCGGCGAGAATTGATACAGAGCTGATTAAAAACCTTAGAAACCGAATTATCTTGCAATTCATAGAGTTTAGCAAAGGCGGAGGCGGCGGCGCGGCAGATAGCGGTTGAAGGGTGAATTCTGGGAAGGTGAAAAGGGAAGTTTTTGTGAGTGGAATGAGAAATACCCAAATCAAAAAAGAGAGAATAATAAAAGTAACGTACAGATAGAGATTAGAACCTGTTTGGTTGGGTGGGAATTTTCACCCTGGTATAGTCTTTCCTTTCTCGAACTCATAAATTAGGTAAATGCTATAGGCACATAATATTGTATATAGGGAGTGTACATAACACTCACATAAAATGGGACCTATCAAAAATAAAAAATCAAGTGAATCCCACTCCATGTGAGTGTTATATACATTTATTATGTACATGTAGCATTTTTCCATAAATTATTACACGATTTACTATTAGTTAAACAGATGGATCATCATATTTATTTAACAAAAGTATAAATTAATACTATTAAATGTCATATTTTTATTTATGTTTGTTTTAATGTAAATTGACGTAATTTCTTTTAACAAACATGTATATTTATATTATAAAATTTCATACTTTTATTTTATTTTATGTTATTTTATCATAATTGGCTAATAGATGATAGGTTTTATTTTATATTTTGTAATTTTTATTGTTTTATATTAATGATGTATTTTTCCTAGTATAAATGTGTATAGGAATAGCTCTCATAATGTACAGTATAAATAGGTGGAAACCCTAGTTTCCAAAACACTTTTTTTGTTCATTTTCATTCCTTACACATCTGAGAAATAATATGTCTCTTTCATTTTCTTTTCTTTCATCTTGTTCGATCTTCGATCTTGTTACTTGATATGGTATCAATCGCTCAGTATTACGATCCTCGCTTCCGCACATCTCTGTTCTTTGGTTATTTGATCATTTTGATCCTCACCTTCTTTGTATTGGATTCACCTTAAAATCGCGATCTCTAGTTCCGATCTACATTTTGTTCCAATTTGAGATCCAGATCCACTCATACATGACGAGTCCATCCTCTACTTTGCGACTGACTGACGATCCTTCATCGCCCTACTACCTTCACGCCAGCGACAATCCAGGAGCCTTAATCGTTGCCGAACAATTCACTGGTGAGAACTACGTTTCCTGGTCGCGCTCTGTCTTAATGGCGCTCAGCGTCAAAAATAAATCTGGATTCGTCGATGGTACTGTTTCTATCCCTGCTCTTGATAATCCTGATCTATACCTTGCTTGGACTCGTGCAAATAATTTGTTCTTATCATGGTTGCTCAATTCTGTTGTGAAAGATATTCGTCACATTCTGTTGTTTTTCACATCTGCGAAAGATGTTTGGGACGAAATTAAGTCCAGATATGCTCTCAGTAGCGGTCCTAGGGTTTTTCAATTGGAAAAATCACTTAGTACTATGGATCAGGGTTCTTCTTCCATTACTCACTATTATAACTCTTTCAAAACTCTGTGGGATGAGTATGTCACGTATCGACCTGTTTTTCAATGCACATGTGGTGCTTTTCATCATGTACCTGTAATATTTTTTATTCTATGGCCTCTGCTCAATAGCAAGATGTTGTCATGAAATTTTTAATTGGCCTTAATGATTCATATTCAACTGCTCGCAGTCATTTCCTTCTATCCATACCTTTACCGTCTTTGTCAAAGATTTACTCTCTCCTTCTTCAAGAAGAAAGCCAAAGGAACCTGCAAAATACAGCCAAACCTTTTGATTCATTGGCAATGCTTGCAAAATCCTGTAACTCTCAAAATAGATTTTCCAAATTTCCAAACAAAGACAGAAAGAAATCATCTGTGAGCATTGTGGGTATAATCATCCTTCTGAGAGATGTTTTCAAGTCATTGGTTACCCTGACAATTGGGTAGGTCCTAGAGGTCCTAGAATCCATCTAAATAAAAATCAAGCCCATTATGTTTTCACTCAAAACACCTCTCATGATATTCCTTCTGATAATTCTGACAATACTCACACCATGACTGATCAATTGTTTCATGAATTCCTTGCTTTTAAAAAGGTGAATGAGCTTAAACAGGGAACTGGTCCACCTCCAGTCCCTGTGGCAGCTACTGTTCATTCACAACCTAATAACTCAGGTACTTCAACTATTTACTCTTGTCTAACTCAATCATTTTTAAATAAATCTTCTTGGATTTTGGACACCGGGGCTACTGATCACATGATATGTGATATAAATCTTTTTACTTCAAAACCTAACCCCATTTCTGTCAAAATTCATTTACCAAATGGACAAAGTACTGAGGCTAGCCATGTGGGACAAATTCATTTGGGACCTAATCTTGAGCTGCTCAATGTACTTTATGTTCCATCTTTTAATTTTAACCTGGTTTCTATTTCTAAACTAACAAGTACCAATAATTGTCAAGTCAATTTTGTTTCTGGTAATTGCATTTTACAGGACATGAAAACCAAATCAGTGATTGGTTCTGCTGAAGTAAAGGCTGGCCTTTACCATTTATCTGTTAATAATACTATGTTGTCTTTTGTTTCTACTGATGTAATAGATGAACCTCATGTAACTCATGACTGTGATATTGCTGCAACAAACTCTTGTGTAAACTCTTCTATTTTGTGGCATAATAGACTAGGTCATCTATCATTTCACAAACTTGCTTCATTACCTGTATGTTCATCTACTGCAAGGAATAATCCACATTATCCTTGTGATGTCTGCCACTTTGCTAGACAGAAGAAATTGCCCTTTCCTGTTAGCACCTCTATTGCATCTTCTGCATTTGATTTAATACATTGTGATGTTTGGGGCCCTTTCTCAGTTACCTCACATTCTGGTTACAAATATTTCTTAACCTTACTGGATGATTTTAGCAGGATTACATGGATTTATCCACTTTCCTTAAAATCAGAGGTTCACAAGTCCATTGTTCATTTTCATAACATGGTTTTAACACAGTTTAACAAGAAAATTAAAACCATCAGAACTGACTATGGAACTGAGTTCATTTTATCTGATTTTTATTTGCAAAATGGCATATTGCATGAAAGAAGTTGTGTTGAGACACCACAACAAAATGGTAGAGTAGAGAGTCAACATTTATTACAAGTTGCTAGGGCTCTACTTTTTCATGCACATTTACCTCTTGAATTCGGGATTTACTGTGTAATGGCTGCTGCCCATATTATAAATAGAATACCATCCACTATCTTGCATAACATTTCTCCTTTTGCAAAACTTCATAACAAACCACCTACTCTGAATCATTTAAGAGTCATTGGTTGTCTTTGCTATTCATCTACTTTAACTGCTTCTAGAACAAAATTTGATCATAGAGCTTCTAAATGTATTGTTCTTGGATATCCCTTAGGCTGTAAAGGATATACCCTTTACAACCTAGATACCAAGAAGATATTATTTCCAGGAATGTTGTTTTCTATGAAGATGTTTTTCCCTTCAGAAACCATACAAACACTCATACTGATTTTTTATTCCCTGAACCACAACCATTTCTATATGACACTAATCCTACTATTACTCAACCCAACTCCCTACCTCCCACTCAAGTACAGCAACTACCTACAAACCCACCTCTTACTCAAACACAACCTAACCCCCCATCACATATTCAACCTCAATCACTCACTCATCATTCTTCTCAAAACCAGTCTCCTACACTCAAAAGATCAACCAGAGTTAAAACAACACCTGCTTATCTAAATGCTTACAAACACTCCTTATCAACTTATATATCTTCATATCCAACTATTCCTGGAACATCTCATTTTACTTCTCCATACCCCATTTGTGACTACATTTCTACTAATCATCTTTCTGAACAACATGCATGTTTCACTGCTTCCATATCTGAACATACTGAACCCAAAACCTACAAACAAGCAGCTTCAAACCCTATGTGGACTGAAGCCATGAACAAAGAAATTTTTGCACTTGAAAAGACAAACACCTGGGTTCTTACCCCCTTACCTGCTCATAAACATACTATAGGCTGCAAATGGGTGTACAAAATAAAGTATAAATCTGATGGGACAATAGAAAGGTATAAGGCTAGATTAGTTGCCAAAGGCTATACCCAGGAAGAGGGTATAGATTACTTTGACACATTCTCACCTGTAGCCAAAATTACTACTGTCAGATTATTACTAGTTGTTGCATCCATTAAACAATGGCATACACACCAACTAGATGTCAACAATGCATTCTTGCATGGTGACCTAGATGAAGAGTTCTACATAACCCCTCCACCTGGTTACTGTGCACCTAATGACACTAGAGTGTGTAAACTCATCAAAAGCCTATATGGCCTTAAACAGAATTCTAGGCAATGGTTTCATAAGCTGACCACTTGCCTATTATCATATGGTTTCACTCAATCTGTTGCAGACTCATCATTATTTCCCATGCATTCAGACACATCATTTCTTGCATTATTAGTTTATGTAGATGATATCATCCTTACTGGGAATGATATCTCTGCCATTCATAACATCAAACAACATTTAGATGCATGCTTTACTATTAAAGATCTTGGTCAGCTCAAATACATATTAGGTTTAGAAATTTCTCATTCAGACAAAGGCATTCATGTTTGTCAAAGAAAATATGCATTGGACATTTTACATAACACAGGTTTTTTGGACTGCAAACCTTCCAAAATACCCATGGACAGCAATACTAAACTAACCAAATCTTCATCCACTTCAACACTAATTGATGCATCTGCATATAGAAGGTTGGTTGGCAGGTTACTATATTTAACCATCACCAGACCAGACCTATCTTACAGTGTTCAGTGTCTAAGCCAACACATGTCACAACCCTCACAAGACCATTTGGATGCTGCCCACAAGATCCTCAGGTATGTCAAAGCAACAGCAGGCAAAGGTATACTACTTTCCAGAACTTCTTCCCTCCATTTAAATGCTTTCAGTGACAGTGATTGGGCTTTTAGACTCTAGGAGAAGCATTACTGGTTATGCTATTCTTTTGGGTGATTCATTAGTATCATGGAAATCTAAGAAACAGGCTACAGTTAGCAGATCCTCTGCAGAAGCAGAGTACAGGGCATTAGCTTCCACTTGTTGTGAAGCACAATGGTTGTTATATCTATTGTCAGACTTGAAAATCACTCACTCTGCTCCTGTTTCTGTATTTTCAGATAGTAAATCAGCCATTTGCATTGCTCAT